ATGCTCTTTACACTGTTCCTGTGAACATCTGACCTAAAATTAACTAAGTTTAATTTAAAGGAAATTTTAAGGTTAGGTTAAAATCCCGAGTATCATCTTTCCCACACCTTCACTTCAGGGGTATGTGGCAGATAAAATCGTGATAGAACCTCAAGTGCTGCAACAGCCGCTGCTCTGACATGGGGATTTTTAGCATCCTGCCTTTGCCTGCTCACCAAAGAAAAAGTTGGATCCCTACACAGGAAAGAAGTTGTCATGTCCCTTCTGTAAAACCCTGTGCAATTCCATGCCCCAGCCTGCCTGAAACCTGCCCAAAGGTTACCAAATCCAAGCACTCTGTGTCAGTGTCAGAATTCATCTCATTTGAAGCTCTAGCCCCGTCTGCCTGTGTATGTGCCATGTGACACAGAGAATTAGTGGTAATATCTCATTTAGTGCTCTGCATGAGCATTGCTGTTGGAATGAGCAGTTCTTTGATGATTTTCTTCCCTTTTATTCCTTGCTGTGAGTCTCAAACACCATTATTTCCTGCACACACACACAGTTTTTCAGAGGCTACCCCAAACTTAACAAAGAAATATTTCAGTTTGTAGCAGTTTAAAAGTCCATCAGAATGGAGTAAAGTACCCTGCTCTAGTGTGGGGATATGGACTAAATGGCTTCTGGAGGATGTTCAGAATAATATTTCTTATTTTGTAAAAAGGCACTTACACACACACAATACATCCACTGTTGTGATCTCTTGTTCTTTCATATTTATATTGATATTAGAAAAATTTTCAAACCACAGATTTCAGTCTGTAAATACATCACTGTAAATGTTACACAGAGATATTCACAGGAAGATAAACTTTGTGATAGGCATCTCTGACTCTCCAGCTGTGCACGACTACAGCAGTCACAGCAATCACTTCTGTCTTCTCTTGACAAATTAATGAGCCGTGCTTGAGGTGACCCTAACAAAGGAGTTAAATTAAAACCATGTGGAAAAGCACTTCAAATCATAACAGGCAAGAAATTTTTTTAAAGGCTTGGCAATGTATATACTTTGATATACACGCTTACTGACTAGATACTCGGGAACAGCAGGGATTCCAAGGCTCCCTTCAGCCTCGCTCTCCTGGGCTGCAAAGATGAACATCCAGTCTGTGCAGATCAAACACCTTTTTGTTGTTGTCTCACAGAATCACAGAATCATTAAAGTTGGGAAATATCTCTAAGACCATTTAGTCCAACCAATAACCTGGCACCACCGTGCTCACCACTACACTGTTGCCCCAAGTGTCACATTCACGTGCCTTTTGAACACTTCCAGGGATGGTGATTCCACCACCGCCCTGGGCAGCCCACTCCAGTGCCTGACCATCCCTTTAGTGATGAAATGTTCCCTAATATCCAATCTAAACCTCTCCTGGCTCCACCTGAGGCCATTTCCTCTTGGCCTGTCACTTATTATCTGGGATAAGAGACCACATCTCACTGCAACCTTCCTGAGGTAGAGAGAGATAATGATGCCAGAGGAGTCACTAGTTTGAAGACACAGGGAGATGGGCTGGGCAGGACTGCAGGTTCTGTGTATATCTGACAGCCCAACTGAGTTTTGCACAACTCAGGGCTGAAAGCAGAAAAATACACTGGAATACTCATCCTGACTTGTAATCCCAGCCCCATTATCCTTGCTTGTGCCAGCAAAAAGAGACAGATAGACAGTAGGGATAGTACATGTCCCAACAGGAAAGCCCTGATTTCATTCACAAGTTATCTGTGGCTTTATTGCATCAGAAATGTCAGCCATGAGTAATTTCAGAAAAGCTATGACTGATGAGGAGCAATAAATAACACTGCAGAGGGGCCTGAGCAGCCAAGGATGGATGAGAACTGATCTGGTCCATGACCTGCTGATCTGGGTGTTCTCTTCATTATATATCCTAGCTCTTCCCCTAATTGGGACAGAGAATCTATGGCTTCAAGTCAGCACTACTCTTGTCCTCACAGTAAAACAAGCTCTTCCTAGGGACCTCTCCTGGTCCTTGCTGCTTGGAATTTTTTCACAGAGCATGCAGAGACAGGGAGACAAACCTCAGCTGGGAGAGCAGTCCCAGTGTGGAGATGTCATTTGTACTTGAAAAAAGGCAGCCTTGAGGTTCCTTTGATGGCACACAGATCTTCCCTCCTTTAGGTGATCTCTTGGGACCATGTGATTGGGATGGTATAAATAATAGCATCATGAAATGACCTCAAAGATCATCTATTTCCCATCCCCTGCCATGGGCAGGGACACCTTCTGCTATCCCAGGTTGCTCCAAGCCCTGTCCTACCTGGCCTTGGACACCTCCAGAGTGAGGCAGCCACAGCTTCTCTGGGCAAACTGTGCCAGGACTCCACCACCCACTGCAAAACCTCCTACGTCACTTTTCTGCTGTCCCATTTTGCAGTGTCCTACAGTGTAACACAAAGACCCCCACTAACAATAGTGATGTTAGTTCTGCTGTTCAAAAATACTGTGTGCCTTCAGACTTTGGCCCTGATTTAAGATTTGTTCTTGCAAATAACATTTTCTGACTGTGCTTAATACAACACCACAACAAAAACCCTCAGAGTAAAAAAGACACACAAAAAAAAAAAACAAAAACAAAAACAAAACAACCCACACTTGGAAGCAACAAACCAAAACCAAAACAATAAAGCAAAATAAAGATTCCTACAATCACAGGCCAGTGTCCTCACTGTGAGTGACTCTCTACCTCAAGCCACACAGTGTCTAGTAGAAAAGTTAAGCATGTCAGTAGTAGTTTGTATCACTGGCAGACATCAGGATGGTACAGGGGTCAGCAGTAAATGGTAGAGGATATGGTATTAATTAGAGAGAGTAAGTCTTAGACAAATCCAATTTCTTTCTTGCCTAGATGGAATAGGCTTATACTTGGGTAAGGCTCAGTAGAGCACAACATCAAAAAACAACATTATGCAATATCAAGAGAGTACACAATGAGGTTGCCAAACATCAAATCCCATGTCCCCTATTAAAAACAGATGGGATATTACCTTTTCCATATTACCCATATGCTTTTAATACAGAGTCAGGATTTGAGGCTGAAATATTCTGCTGTCTGCTCCCACCCCGGCCCTGCTCCTCACAGCCTGCTCTGCAAACAGGGGCTCCCATCTGGGCTGTGCAAATAGTGGCTGCAAGAGGCTGAAAAGAGCAAGATGGGGACAGAGGAAGGAGGGAGAGAAAGGGTTGTTTCTTGGGCTGTGGAAAGGGCTGTGAAAAAGAGGAATGACCTTCGAAAAGTGAGTTTTTGTATAGAATATCAATAAAAAATTAGTATGTACAAAACTGACCATAAACTTGGTAACTAGTAGAGCTCAAAAGAGAGCTCCAAGGGGAAATTATTGTAAAGCAAAGGAGTGTCCTGTGTTGTTCTGCCAAAATCAGCTGCAGGACTGTTGTTGTATCTGCATCAAGATACAAATACAAAGCTACTGCTGATAAAATGCATGGAAGGATTTGTGGGCTGATAAATTATGGAGAGAAAACTTGAACACGGGCACCTAAATCATGTGGGATGCAAGATCTGGGTGAACAAACTGAGTGAATCAGGTTCTGGAAACCTAGAACTGAAAAGGAAATAGAGAACACAGTGAGCAAAGAGAAGACTGAGCTCTCCTATTTATTTCTGTGGGAAAATGGGAAAATAGGATCATTGAATTGTGCCAGTAAAAATGGGATTTAATAGCACTTTTGTGTATGGTACTGATATCATATAATACCAGGTTGGAAGGGATCTCAAGGATCATCTGGCCCAACCTTTCCTGGGAGAAGCATGATCTAGACAAGGTGGCCCAGCATCCTGCCCAGCCGCATCTCAAAAGTGTCCAACACTGGGGAATCCATCATGAAGGAAAAGTGTGGACTTTCCTTTATGCACATTTCCGAAAGGATTCAGAAAACAGAGACAGGGAAGGAAACACAAGAACTCAGATCTTTCAATTTTTTTCAGAGCAGTCAGTTAAGTGATTTGATTGCTCTTGAGGTATCTGGAGGAGGAGGAAGAAGAGTCAATGCCCAGAAACTCTTTGATGTATAAGTGGAGGAAAGAACAAGAAGCTCTCATGGGAAGCTGGAGAGAGAGAGACTCCCAAGACAAAGTGGGTGAGTACTTGTGACAGCAAGAACAAGGATGGCATCCAACATCTAGGCACACATTCAGGTATTTAATGTGTCCAGGTCTCGTAGCTTCTAGACCAGATGATTTTCTGTAATTTTAGCCAAAAAGAGAGTTCAACACTGGAGTATCAAAGTGAAGAGCAGTGGTCTGTATCATGTAGGAGATTGAAATAGAGATTAAACAGACTTTTCTGGCTCTTAAATTTTAAAGCTATATGAATAAAGGTTTAGACCTATAGATTAGATGAGGCAACAACTCATCTTTAATAACACATCTCTGTTGCAACATTAATTTGTAAATATTTATAGATTTAATTTTTTAGAATTTAAGAGCTGTGACAGTCTGAATGTCTCTGAAAACATTGACTTTACCCAATACTTTACAATTTCAAGGCAGGCTCACAGTAATTCTGTTCCTAGTTAAAAGCCTCATGGACGTCTCTGCACTACAGAGATTCACTAGCACCAAAATAACATGGTAGTTCCCACACAGGAGTCCAGCTAGTACTTGGGCATAGCTCTATATTCAGAGAATCAGGGAATAATTCAATGCTTTGGGTTGGAAGGGATATTAAATACCATCTCATTTCAACAGGCAGGGACACCCTCCCCTAGACCAGGTTGCTCCAAGCCCATCCAACCGGGCCTTGGACACCTCCAGGGATGGTGCAGCCACAGCTTCTCTGGGAAAGTCATGGAAACTTTCTGTGTTTCAGCATGGGTAGTCATATTTCAGCCAATGGGGAACTTGTTTAATGAGCAGATGGAGTGGATAAATTGATTCACTACACTTAAATCAGTATCTGATGATGATGTATCTGACACTTACCTCCTGTTACCTTCTGCTGGGGACAGCAAGCCAGACTGAGTCACCATTAAGGTCTCAACTGGCAAGCCAAGGCCTCTCTGAAGGTCTCCAGTTTGATGAGTGTTGATAATTGTTCTGGCCAAACTCTTTAAGCTGTCACTTGTCAACTCATTTCTTGGATGACGTGGCGGATCACCAAGTTCGATGATCAGCACCCTGGACGGACCAGCTGTATCAGATGGCTGCAGAGCCCGGGTGCTCACTGGTTGCCTCCCCACTTCCTGTGGGCCATATCTGCTGTGAAAGGCTGTGCAAAAGGCCATGTTAGGGCAGTGATACTTCTTTTTGCTGGCGTTGGCTGAGATTACCTTCAACATGCTTTCACCTCCCGGCACGTGATGGACTACTCTGACTAGGTCATGGCCAAGCTTCAAGAAATCAGCCAGTCGATGTGTTATAGTTGCCTCATCTTCTTCCCCAGCAGACTCAGTTACAGTGAAAGCCACAAGAACGGAGAGGCCAGCAACTATTTCTACAGGTTCAGTCTCATGGAGGAGAACATAGAGGAGATTGTCCTCAAAGCTGAAGTAATTGGCTCCTGCCCCATCATTCAGTGAAAAAGAAGATGGGTTTGGAGAGACATATTTGCCTTGAATGAAAACACGAAGGCTGAGTGGTTCATTGTAGAATATGGCCACGGGCAGCCTGGTTGTGTTTTGGCCACTGAGGAGGAAGAGTCTGAAAGCCAGAGGTGGGAGGTCTGGGAAGCAAACCGTGGTGAGCTTGGGGGATGGCAGCACAGAAAATAGAGTAGAACGATGCTCCGTGGGGTAACACCAAGTGTGTGAAGCCACGTCACTGAAGGTGTCCATAAAGCTGCCAGTCATTGTTACCACTGGGAACAGTCTCTGGCTGTCCACACTGGAGTCTAGGATTTCTAGGATGACAAGAGCATGATCTGCCTGTTTACAGAAGTAGCCTTGTACTGAGGGCTTGAAGATGCACTTATTGTCATCTCTGTAAATTCCTGGAAGAGAAAAAAGGGAAATGAGGGGGGGAAATTGTTTTGGACAGCATCTCAACATTTTGTTTTACAGTTGCTTATTTTTCCACTCGAAGCTCAAAGTCACTTTTGTCAGGGCTAAAATTTTACATAATTTTAAGAGAAGGCTGAACACTAACAGATGTTAAGTAGGTACAAACCACATCTACTTCTTTGGGTTGAAAATGGTTGAAGACTGCTAACAGACAGAAAAGTATCATACATGCTTACCTCATTCTTTAGATATCAAATTTAGATGGTCCTTTGATCTGATCCAGCACTACACCCCTATGTCCTCATATCTTATACATTCTACTGGTTCCAAGCCTGTACAGGGCAACACATCAGGGCTTGACTGCAATTCTTTGGGAAGATAATTCAACTTCCGTGAAGACATGTCATCCCACTCACAAGGATTATATTAAACAAACAAACAAACAAACAAAAACACCAAAACAAAAACCCCAAATCAAACCCCAACAAAAAAACCAGAACAAAGCCAAAACAAAACAAAAAAAATCACACCTAGAAAGGACCAGAATATTATTATCTACTCCAGTGATGACATCATCAAGTTTTAGAGATAGAAGAAAGCACCAGATTCAGATACCTACTAATAGTGGAGATTCTTACACGTGCTCCAAGCATCTAAACTCCCACTGCAGTCAGTGGAGATCTGAAGTTTAAACCATTTACCCATAGGCAGACATCGAGATTTGCATGGGATGCCCTGAGTGACCTGAGACATGTGACACAGGGTCTACAGAAGATTTCTGCCCTGCAAGGATGGCAGCTGGAGGGCTGGTGGGACACTCCACAGCAGCAGAAAATACGCTAAACACACACTTGTGGTAACTGAAGCATGCCCAATTCCCCAGCCATCAGCACAGACAGAGCAGTTTAAAAACATGGAGTTCACCCTAAAAGACTTCTGTTTAGTCGTCTGGATTATACTTTACTATCCTATAACTTTATTGACCAGAGGTAGAACCTGTCACTTGAGCACAAGTGCATAGTGTCACTTGGACTTCTTTTGGTAGCTGCAGCATCTGTAGATATAAAACACAGTCAATGGGAGTGCAAAAGCCCCTTTAGGTAATACTTTATTCTTTCACTGAATACAAAAGGAGCCCAAACCCTACACATATGTCAGAATTTGCCACTAAATCCCCTCCCAAGTGTCTGTGGAGACAAGTCAAAAGGATCCTTTTATGGAAGGCTCTGTACAGAAGAGACAATCCACACAGTCTTCTGAGTTAGAATGATAGAATCACACAATGGTTTGGGTTGAAGGGACCTTGAAGATCATCTGGTTCAAACCACCTTCCATGGGCAGGGACACCTTCCACTAGACCAGGTTGCTCCAAGCCCCATCCAACCTGGTCTTGGACATTTCCAGGGATGGGGCAGCCACCAATTCTCTGGGCAACCTGTGCCAGGGCCTCACCACTCTCACAGGGAAGAATTCCTTCCCAGTATCCCATCCAACCCTGCCCTCTGGCAGTGGGAAGCCATTCCTCCTTGTCCTGTCACTCCATACCCTTGACCAGAGTCCCTCTTGCAGCCCCTCCTGGTACTGAAAGGTGCTATAAGTTTACAGTGTACTCCATCTAACCAAATATAGGTCTCTGCTTTAAGATGAGAGAAGTTGTGCCTCAGGCTGTAATGATGAGATCATCACTGATTATAAAGAGAGAACAAAAGTTAGAGTTCAGACACGGGCACCAAAAACATAAACACTTCTGCCTGGAGCATCTTAGGAAAAGATGTGTGTTTCTGTTTTTCCTTCCTCTCTTCAAAATAATATCAAAGGAGGAATTTGCTGTGGTAGCCAGCTAGAATCGTCCTTCCCTCACCTAGCCTGCCCCTTCTTTAGTTAGCTGAGCTCACAAACATGTTGGGCAAAGTGTGGCCAATGTCTCAACTAACCATGCTCCTCATTCAGCACCTTCAGGGACACGTGTTCAAATCAGATCAAACACAAGGGACAGCAACATCCTTGAGAGTCACAAACTTTTGGATGACTAAAAGGACTTCCCCCTTATCAAGGACACATTATATGAAACTTTCTGCTAGAGAAAAATAGCAGACTCCTGGAAAAGAAATGAACTATGAGAAAAGTTGGATGGAGCTCTGAGCAAACTGGTCTAGTGGAAGGCATCCCTGCCCACAGTAGGGAGGATGGAACAAGATGATCTTTATGGACCCTTCTATTCCAAACCATTCTATGACTATTAAATTATTCTGAGGTCTGCCTTCAGTTACATCTCAATGCCTGGGTCTTGCAGACACCTATTATCTATTTCAAGGGGAATCCTCATGTGCAGACCATGGTCTGGGAGCATTTCCCAGAACAAGCTGTCACTCTGCATGTCACCGAGGGGAGCAATAATATTACATAAATGTCGAGCTCTGTTCAGGGAGGATGTTCCATGAGAGAGGATTTCTGCAGAAGCCCCTATTTTTAGACACCAGCTTAGGATTTTGCTTCCTTTTCTTGCCTTTCCTTGTGTTTTTGATTGGAGGTTTTTTTGCTGGTTTTATTTTTTGCTGGGTTTTTTTTTTGCTTTATCAGTGCAAGTATTTTGCTCTCAGTGTTTGCTGGGGGCAAAGGGATAGAGAGAAGCAATTCCGTTCAGAAGAAGAAGTGGAAACGCTGAGCTCGGAGACATTCGGCTTTGTCCTGGAGCACTGGGAGGATGTGCCGGCAGCCAGCCCACAGAGCCTGACAGATCCCATCCTCTGCTCTCCTGGAAATACCCCATCTCCCCCCTCTCATGTCTACAAATAGGATTTGCTGATATTTCATGATTTCCCAGGACTTTCCTTTGCCCTGCCTGCCTTGCAGAGCGGGCTGACTCATTTTCCTGCACACACACACACACACACACACACTCTCACACCCATGTACACACACGCATCATTGCTTGTCCCCTTCCAAATGGCCTTATCTGCCAGTCACAATTTCTGCAGCCTGCAATTTCGATCACTTTTAAATGAAACCCATGCTGGCCTTAGTAATCATAATGTCATTTACAATTTACCACAAAACACGTTTATTCAGTTAGTAGCACATTGGAGAAAGAGAACTCCATATGAACTCGCCACTGAAGCCCTAATCTGATTATTTCCTCATGAAAATCCAAGCAGGGGTGCTTGTAAGAGGGGTCTGAGAGGAGAAGGAAAAAAGTGAGTCCTGGCCACAGCTGACTCTCATAATCAATGGGAGTAGATAAGTGACGAGGCGTGTCAGGGCCAGCAGCTAATCTGCCCTGGGGCTTTCCTCTAAAAAAGGCCAGAGTGGACAGGACTTAATAAATACTGAGTGACCACTGAATATTGAGCTGACATGTGCTATTTACATTGGCGATGAACAATAACGGTGATAAATTCCAGAAGCATCCCCCCCTGCAATGGGGGAAATCAGATTAAACAGGTTCTATTTGTACGTGGGTTTGCACCCACATTTGTGCGTGTGAGAGGGGGGACAAAATGGGGGAAAAAATGGGGAAAAAGAATCAAGCACAAACTGGCAGGAAAGATGGAGAAGGTGTTCATATCTGTAGCAATGTGTTCACGGATGAGGTTGAACGTTGTGCTGGGATCTTTATGCACCCAGGCAGAGGACGAGGGCATGAGTGTTTTGGGTGCACACACGGGCAGGTGTACCATTTGTGTGTCCTGCTCCATGCAAGGAGAGAGAAATGATACTTGGAGAATGTGTGTGCTCACCCTCTGCAGATAATTGCTCAGACTTTGCTTTCTGCAGCTTCCCCCCATCATCAAGCCAAATTTATTATTTATTTATATCCATCTGCACACATACACAGACACAGCAACATCTATGTCTAGATGAGACTTCAACACTCAGGTTGCTTCTAGGGCTCCTGACAAATATTAACTTTGTGTCAATATTTGTCCTTCCTGTCGTGAAATGAGGATTTTCCACCTCATTTCACATTTGAAAAGAAAAATGTGCCGAGGGGGTCCTCTTTGCTCAGGAAAAAAACCCCCCACCACCATCACCATCTCATATCCTTTATTTAGAAAAATGGAGAAGGGTGGAAGGAGGGAAGAGCATTTTTTAAAATAGATATTTTGACTTAAAGGCACGCAGAGTCCTTTGCAAGTCTCCTGCCTTTTCCCTGCTTCCCCAACGCCAAACAAATAAAATAAAATAAAATAAATTCTACATTTAAAATTGAATGAAATACATCAACATTAATGATTTTCCCCTTCAGGTTAACACCACCATTTGCTTCAATAATTTTTACCCATTTCATGATAGATTTCACAATTCATGGTACAAGGAAAAATAGAGTCTTTTTTTTGACAAAAACAAAAGGGAGTGTCAGTTTTTTATCAAAATAAAATAAATCTCTCACAATTTTCTTTCCATCCGACTGGATTTCCCCGTCAGTTATTTCTAATTTAACTACAATTATAGCTACAAAAAATATAAAAGCGAGGAGGGGAGGAAGGGGGAGGGGAGAGATAAATGGGACACTGTTTAGAAATTGCAATTCCTTGGCCTTGGGCTGGCCAGCACATATCTTTGCTGAGGGGGAAATATTCATCAGCGTTAACTGTTCCTTTTGACCTGCTGACATTCAAATGGCAAATAAAAGAAAATTTAAAAAAAAAAAGGGTCTAGCAATAGCACCTCAGAAATCTAAAAAAGGGAAATTATTCTGAGGTCAGTTGTGGCTTTTTGTTATAGGAAAAGTTTCCTGTTTCTTGAGTTCAGATGTTCCCTGTAAATCATTTCGGCCTTGATTTTCCTGTCTAACCCCTTTAACAAGGTCTTCATGCCTACACACTCATGCTGTGTCAGCAACAGCTCTGCAGACACTGATTTTTTAAATCTTTACACAGTAAGTGAAAACAAACCCATCAGCTTTGGTGGATATGCTGAGATAAGGCATCTCCCATTGTTTTTAGAAATCCTACCAACTGTAAGTTAGGGATTGAATTTGTCAGCATTC